TTTTACTTATGTACGTATCTCTTCTCGCAAGTGTTTTTGTGCACGTTTCTTTATGCGCATTCATGTCCTCGAACTATAGTACGTATTTTCATGATCGCTTTTGGAATCCAATTTTGACCATGTTCGAGTCCGAATTTGGAATTTGGCCGTTAGACAGAAATTGTAGCCAGCTGAAATAGGTAAGTAACGCCGCCGGACCCAGTTGACTTGGAGTTCGGATGAGAAAGTTATGCTCTACTTCGTGGACACTACCAAAGATGTTCGGTGATTCTCTCTTGTAATTTGATTTTATTTTCCTAATTGCAACTCTTTTCTAACTCTTTGATCATTTTTGCGTCCTGGACACCTAATATTCGATTTGTAATATACCAAATCCACCAATTAATAAAGAAATATAAATTAATCCGGAAAAAAATCCACGTAAACGTAAACGTAGAGTTTTATTTCTACACTCCACTGTATCTTTTTTATCTAGTGTTTTAGCTGTTGTTTGTTGATGCGTATTAAAGTCCTAGTATTGTACTTGGTGTTTCATAGAACGTTGTTGCGAATGCACTTTTGCGCATGTGTTTTTACATGTACATTTGTGCATGTCAATTTGAGCGAGTATGTTTATGCATGTTTGTTGATTTGTATTAATGTCCTAGGATTGTAGTTTGTTTTTTCATGATCCTGTTTGCGAATGCACTTTTGCGTGAGTACTTTTGTGCATGCTTTTGTACGTATACTTATGTGCGTATCACTTCTAGCGAGTGTTTTTGTGCACGTTTCTTGATGCGCATTCATGTTCTCGAACTATAGTACGTATTTTCATGATCGCTTTTGGAATCCAATTTTGACCATGTTCGAGTCCGAATTTTGAATTTTGCCATTAGACAAGAATTGTAGCCAGCTGAAATAGCTATCCAATGCCGCCGGAACTAGTTGATTTGGAGTCCGGATGAGAATTTTATGCTCGACTTCGTGGACACTACCAAAGATGTTCAGGGATTCTCTCTTCTTATTTGATTTTATTTTCCTAATTGCAACTCTTTTTTACTCTCTGATAATTTTTGCTTCCTGGACACCTAATTTTCGATTTGTACCTATAAGATACCAAATCCACCAATTAATATAGAAATATAATATTCCGAAAAAAAATCCACGTAAACGTAAACGTAGAGTTTTATTTATACACTCCACTGTATCTTTTGTACCTAGTGTTTTTGTTGTTGTTTGTTGATGCGTATTAAAGTCCTAGTATTGTAGTTCGTGTTTTTAAGAATGTTGTTGCGATTGCACTTTTGCGCATGGTTTTTTACATTTACGTTTGTGCATGTCCATTTAAGCAAGTGTGCTTATGCATGGTTGTTGATTTGGATTAAATGTCCTAGGATTGTAGTTTGTGTTTTCTTGTTTCTTTTTGCGAACCCGCTTTTGCGTGAGTACTTGTGTGCATGCTTTTGTACTTTTACTTATGTACGTATCTCTTCTCGCAAGTGTTTTTGTGCACGTTTCTTTATGCGCATTCATGTCCTCGAACTATAGTACGTATTTTCATGATCGCTTTTGGAATCCAATTTTGACCATGTTCGAGTCCTAATTTGGAATTTTGCCGTTAGACAGAAATTGTAGCTAGTTGAAATAGGTTAGTAACGCCGCCGGAACCAGTTGACTTGGAGTTCGGATGAGAAAGTTATGCTCTACTTCGTGGACACTACCAAAGATGTTCGGTGATTCTCTCTTCTAATTTGATTTTATTTTCCTAATCGCAACTCTTTTCTAACTCTTTGATCATTTTTGCGTCCTGGACACCTAATATTCGATTTGTAAGATACCAAATCCACCAATTAATATAGAAATATAAATTAATCCGAAAAAAAATCCACGTAAACGTAAACGTAGAGTTTTATTTCTACACTCCAATGTATCATTTTTATCTAGTGTTTTTGTTGTTCTTTGTTGATGCGTATTAAAGTCCTAGTATTGTAGTTCATGTTTGTAAGAACGTTGTTACGAATGCACTTTTGCGCATGTTTTTTTACATGTACGTTTGTGCATGTCCATTTGAGCGAGTGTATTTGTGCATGTTTGTTGATTTGTATTAATGTCCTAGGATTGTAGTTTGTGTTTTCATGATCCTTTTTGCGAATGCACTTTTGCGTGAGTACTTTTGGGCATGCTTTGTACTTTTACTTTTGTGCGTACCTCTTCTATCGAGTGTTTTTGTGCAAGTTTTTTGATGCGTATTCATGTCTTCGAACTGTAGAACGTGTTTTCATGATCGCTTTTGGAATCCAATTTTGACCATGTTCGAGTCCGAATTTGGAATTTTGCCGTTAGACAGAAATTGTAGCCATCTGAAATAACTTTCTAATGCTGCCGGAACCAGTTGATTTGGATTCCGGATGATAAAGTTATGCTCGACTTCGTGGACACTACCAAAGATATACGTGTTAGGATAGTAGACTAAAAGTCTCGCTTTTAGCTCATAATTTTATTATTGAATTAATAAAATTGTATGTTATCATTTTATGAGAATCTGCACTAGGGTATTCAATGCATTTAATCGATTGTTTGTCAATTAATTAAAAGCATAAGTCTAATATTCTAATAGTATTCGAGATGGTGTGCTACGGCGCACAGAAAGATCATTTCGAAAGTTCTTTTAGAATATAAAGATTACGTTCACAATCTTCATGGAAATGGACTAACCATTGGTAAAAGATTGTAGCACAATATTTAAGTGATTAATCCGAAAAAAAATCCACGTAAACGTAGAGTTTTATTTCTACACTCCACTGTATGTTTTTTATCTAGTGTCTTAACTGTTGTTCGTTGATGCGTTTTAAAGTCATAGTATTGTAGTTCGTGTTTTAAAGAACGTTGTTGCGAATGCACCTTTGCGCATATTATTTTACATTTACGTTTGTGTATGTCCATTTGAGCGAGTATGCTTATGCATGTTTGTTGATTTGTATTATTGTCCTAGGATTGTAGTTTTTGTTTTCATGATCCTTTTTGCGAATCCACTTTTGCGTGAGTGCTTTTGTGCATGCTTTTGTACTTTTACTTATGTGCGTATCACTTCTAGCGAGTGTTTTTGTGCACATTTCTTGATGCGCATTCATGTCCTCGAACTACAATACGTATTTTCATGATCGCTTTTGGAATCCAATTTTGACCATGTTCAAGTCCGAATTTGGAATTTTGCCATTAGACAGAAATTGTAGCCAGCTGAAATAGCTTTGCAATGCCGCCTGAACCAGTTGATTTGGAGTCTGGATGAGAAAGTTATGCACGACTTCGTGGACACTACCAAAGATGTTCGAGGATTCTCTCTTCTAATTTGATTTTATTTTCCTAATTTCACCTCTTTTCTTACTCTTTGATCATTTTTGCTTCCTGGACACCTAATTTTCTATTTGTACCTATAAGATACCAAATCCACCAATTAATATAGAAATATAAATTAATCCAAAAACAAAACCACGTAAATGTAAACGTAGAGTTTTATTTCTACACTCCACTGTATCTTTTTTACATAGTGTTTTTGTTGTTGTTTGTTGATGCGTATTAAAGTCCTAGTATTGTAGTTCGTGTTTTTAAGAACGTTGTTGCGAATGCACTTTGGCGCATATTTTTTTACATTTACGTTTGTGCATGTCCATTTTAGCGAGTGTGCTTATGCATGTTTGTTGATTTGTATTAATGTCTTAAGATTGTAGTTTGTGTTTTGCATGAGTACTTTTGTGCATGCTTTTGTACTTTTACTTATGTGCGTATCTCGTCTCGCGAGTGTTATTGTGCACGTTTCTTGATGCGCATTAATGTCCTCCAACTATATCACGTATTTTCATGATCGCTTTTCGAATAAAATTTTGACCATGTTTGAGTCCGAATTTGGAATTTGGCCGTTAGACATAAATTGTAGCCAGCTGAAACACATTTGTAATGCCGCCGGAACCAGTTGATTTGGAGTTCGGATGAGAAAGTTATGCTCGAATTCGTGGACACTACCAAAGATGTTCGGGGATTCTCTCTTCTAATTTGATTTTATTTTCCTAATTGCAACTCTTTTCTTACTCTTTGATCATTTTTGCTTCCTGGACACCTAATATTGGATTTGTACCTATAAGATACCAAATCCACCAATTAATATAGAAATATAAATTAAGTTGAAAAAAAATCCACGTAAACGTAAACGGGGAGTTTTATTTCTACACTCCACTGTATCTTTTTTATCTAGTGTTTTTGCTATTGTTTGTTGATGCGTATTAAAGTCCTTGTATTGTAGTTCGTGTTTTTAAGAACGTTGTTGCGAATGCAGTTTTGCGCATGTTTTTTTACATGTACGTTTGTGCATGTCCATTTGACCGAGTGCCTTTGTGCATGTTTGTTTATTTGTTTTAATGTCCTAGGATTGTAGTTTGAGTTTTCATGATCCTGTTTGCGAATGCACTTTTGCGTGAGTAATTTTGTGCATGCTTCTGTACTTTTATTTATGTGCGTATCTCTTCTAGCGAGTGTTTTTGTGCACGTTTCTTGATGCGCATTCATGTCCTCGAACTGTAGTACGTATTTTCATGATCGCTTTTGGAATCCAATTTTGACCATGTTCGAGTCCGAATTTGGAATTTTGCCGTTAGACAAAGTTTTTTTTTTTTTTTTTTTTCCGCTTAAATTGCTACTGCCCAACATATGGCTAATAATAGCAATTGACAAACAAAAGACAATAGCTAACTAAGAAAACAATAAGAATACGGGCAAAACAGGTGGCCCAAATAATAAAAAGGACAGGGGTGGGAATGATCATTGAAGATCGGGGAAGACCAAGGTAGACTGTTTGCCTGACCACAACAGCCGAGGCCACTTGCTGTTTCGCCAAAAATGGGCGAAACAGGTATAACGGCTGCGAAATGTGTGGCACCATTCGGCAAACAGTCTAGTCTTGATGGACCCAAACAATCCATAATCACCCCAATCGTGCCAATAATATAAAAACGTGGAATGCATGGCACCTATGTGCGAGACTGTCGTCGAAAGGATGGATATCCAAGCTGGTCCATCCGAATCATCTGCTGAATAGGTCGGGGAAGCTCCGCTGTTGTCAAGGTACGAGCCAACTCGGTCTGACACCCCAAGTTAGCTAATGCATCAGCGACTGTATTGCCCTCCCAGTAGATATGCGTAATCCTATACTCCAAAGTAGAAAGAGAGTTCCGGATCGCCGTGAGAGAACTCTGAAGACTCCAATGACCTTTGTCCGTGTGCGAAAGAAGTCGAACAGCGACTTCTGCGTCAAGCTCGCTCCAAACTCTAGTGAACTGCCTCTGAATAACAAATCGCAGCCCCGAGGCAAGGGCAGCAAGCTCGGCTGCAATACTGCTCGGGGCAGAGATCCTCTCGTGAAATGCAAGTATGGCCTCAGCGTCCGAAGCTCTGATAATCCCGCCAATAGCTGCAATCTGGGTGGATTCTCTGCGGGCTCCGTCTGTGTTTAGCTTCACCCAACCCGGATCCGGTGGAAGCCAAACAACTCGATGAGGTGTGAGAGTTGGTGTTCTGACTCGGTAATATAGGCCAAGAGACTAAGCCACATGGAGAATGCCAGTCCAGCTATCCGCCGAAAGTAAGTTGGTTTGGTGAAGAATCCTGATGTGCTGGATGACCTTGTAAATGATGGAGGAAGCGCGAACCGTGATATCCTTATGCTTGCTGTCATTTCTTGCAATCCATGAGTACCACAAGATCAAGCAAGGCACAATGGTCGTGATGTGTGAGTGTGTGCGAAGGGAAGTGCTGCCAATAAAGTAAAATCTGGGGTATGTGCATAGTGTGTGCAGGTGTATATCCTCTTAGCCGACGGCCTCTCCACGAAGATATGATCAATCGAATCAACAGAAGGAGACTCGATAGACTGAGATACAAGACTCGACACAGGAATAGATGGATCTGGACAACAATAGCACCTCGAGGCGAGAGAGGTGACTCGAGACTGAAGTTTGAGATCCACTGGAAGACGCTGAAGAAGGAGACGCCAAAGAAAGATAGAAATTGTAGGAGTAAGACAAGATCCCCAAAATATACAAAGAAGAGGGGTATGGGTTATGCTGCTGTCGTATCAAGGCCCAAGCCGAGGTCAAGGAAAACTTGCCATCCGAAGAAGCTCTCCAAATGGGCAAATCACCCGAAGCACCAGAGATTGGGACCGAGCAAATCCTATCGATCCACTCAAAACGAATATCCTCAACTAGCTTGTTTCGATCCCACTGACTATTAACCAAATAATACTCCACACGAACTGATGTGAGTCGACCACCATCAATAATGCCCGGAAGGGGACCATCGCCAAACCAGTGGTCGTGCCAGAAAGAAACATGACCTGGACCAATCCGCCAAAATATTTGAGCTTGAACACGCTCTCGGACACGGCACATGCGCTTCCACACCGTGCTATAGAGTGAATACACAACGGATGAACCTGGGAACCGATTCTGGCAATACTTGTTTCGGAGAAAACGGGCCCAAAGAGAATCCTGAGCACGGAATCGGAACCAGAGCTTGTAAGTGAAGAGGTCAATCACATCCGTCAAACGCCTCAACCCCAAGCCACCCTCACCAACTGGCCGACAAATCGTCTCCCAAGCAACCCAATGAGGCCGGCGCTGATTACCATAAGATCCCCAGAGAAATCGGGCCATGCACTGCTCAATCTGCTGAATGATGTACTGCGGAGGTTGAATAACATGAACAAGATGCAAAGCCATAGTCGAAAGCGTACTCCGGATCAAGGCAAGACGGCCCCCGAAAGCCAAAGCGGTCCGAGCCCAACCCGAAATCCTGGCTTGCATGCGATCAAGCAAAGTCTGAAACAAACTGCCCCGGTCCCTCCCTTTGTATAGCGGAGCTCCAAGATCAATGATAGGAAGATCCTTTCTCGGATAACTGAGAATCCGAGAAATAGTGCGAAGATGACCATCAGAACATGCCCTATCAACTGTGAAAGTGCTCTTGTGCACACTAATCAACTGACCCGAAGTCCGACAGTAATGATTGAGAAAATCCCGCAGCTTCTTCAGGACAAAATTATGGCACGAGGTAAATATCATCACATCATCCGCATAGGCCAAATGGGATATAGGGATGCCTCCCCTTGTAGAATAAAACATGCTCGGGCAACGGCTGTATAGTGCATCTAGACCTCTCGAAAAATACTCAGCCGCAAGTACAAAAAGAGTCGGCGAGAGCGGATCTCCCTGCCTTAGACCACAAGACGAAGTGACATACCCCGTCAGCTCCCCGTTGATTAGTAAAGAGAACTGGCACGAGGAAACACATCGCCGAATAATATCAACCAAGTTTGCCGAGAAACCAATCAACTCGAGTACACGAAATAAGAACCACCACTGAACCCTATCATAAACCTTTGCCATATCCAGCTTCAAAATAAGATTCGGATTTCGACAACGAATTGATATTGAGTGGACCATCTCTTGTGCTAAAAAAATATTATCACTAATGAGACGACCCTGAACAAACCCACTCTGAGAAGGAGAAATAATGTGGGGCAAATGAGGTGCCAGTTTGTTCGTAAGTAAATTAGTGATAATTTTATTAGTCACGTTGCACAAGCTAATCGGGCAGAAATATGTCCAAGCCGTCGGAAAGTCCACCTTTGGAATAAGAACCAAGGTGGTAGCGGTGAAGCTCGCAGGCATAGATCCACCCTCGAAGAAATCCCAAACCGCTTCACAAACATCACACTAAATCAAGTCCCAACAATGCTGATAAAATAGCGAAAAAAACCCATCAGGACCCGAAGCACTATCACGACAAATCTCAAACACCGCATCTTTGATCTGCTCAACCGTCGGACGAGTAGAGACTGAAGAAAAGTCCCTTTGAGGAGCGGAAAATAGGGACTCATCAACCGCAAGCAAACTAGGCATATCATCGGTAAGAAGCTTACTAAAGAAATCAACGCCCGAATCCTTGATCTCCTGAGCAGATGTGAGAACCGAATCACCATGAGAGATAGAGTGGATTCGATTGACACATCGCTTTTTCTTGACTAATGAGTGGAAAAACTTAGAGTTTCTCTCTCCATTAGATGCCCATCTACAAGCTACCTTCTGCTTCCAAAAGTCCTCCTCAATATTGAGCATGAGAATAAGTTCAGCAGTGGCCTTTTTCAAATTTGCACGGTTCTCGGGGGATCGATCCAAGTCATATATGTGCTCGGCCTCTAGAACAGCTACCTCGGCCCTCTCTTTATTCTTGAACACGCCCCCGAAAACATTCCACTTCCACCACTGAAGCTTCTGTTTCAATCGTCTCAACTTCGTATGTAATCGATGCATCCCGGTCTGAGCACACGGAAAATCCCAAACCTGTTCCACAATCTAACGAAACATAGCGTGGCGGATCCACATATGCTGAAACCGGAATAAAACAGGAGGCCTAGATGAAGAAGCAGCCGATGAAACCAAAAGAGGAGCATGATCCGACCAGGTCCGTGAGAGGTAGGTAACCTGCGTAAAAGGCAGTAAATCTAGCCAAGCAGAGTTATATATAATCATGTCCAAACGCTCCAAAAGACCTGAAGGGCTCTCCCAAGTATAGCAAGAACTAGCCCCAGAGAACCCGGCATCCGAAAGTCCACAATCCAAAACCATAGCACCAAACTCAGCCATATCTAGTCTCCTATCCAAAACCGATCTATTCCGTTCTGACTCAAGTAAGATTGAGTTGAAGTCACCCCCTGAAATCCAAGGAGTGTCACCAATCGTCTCAAAAATGTCGCGGAACGAATTCCACAAAACACGGCGCTCGGAACGAGAGCAACTAGCAAAGACCGCAGTAAATACAAGAGGAGCACCAAATAAATCAGATATGCATCTAACATGCAATAATTGTACCTCATCCCTAGCAACTCCACTCGAAAATTGTGATCCCAAAAAATCCAGATCTTCCCCGCACAATTAGACAAACCAGCAACGAAACCCAAACGAAGGCAATAGTAATCATGCACAAACTCAGTCATAGGTTCAGAAATAACCAATAAATTAACTCTATGTTGGCGACAAATAAAGCACAAGTGGGATTGGGTCGCCTTATTTCTTACCCCCCTTGCGTTCCACACCAAGAATTTAACCGACATCAAGAAGAGGGGGAATGGGACCCATATGAAGATTTCCGAGATGTGACAAAGAATGAGTTACCAATAAGGTGGGCCTCCTCCGCATGCCAATGTTCGGCATTCTGCAAATGCCAACGCTCAGCATCAATCAGGCTCGATCGCCACGAGGCCGAAGGTTCATCAGTGATAGAGCCCGGAGTAGAGTGATCAGCTGGGCATATGCTCGTGGCTGGGCTCACGGGCTCATAAGGGATCATGGCAAGGTGATTGAAAGGAGGCGTGCCGGCCAAATTTACCTCGGACATGGGCCGGACCTTGGTCAAATAGTGTTCGCAAAATAAGGCAGCCGTTAGACAGAAATTGTAGCCAGCTGAAATAGCTTTGTAATGCCGCCAGAATCAGTTGATTTGGAGTCCAGGTGAGAAAGTTCTGCTCGACTTCGTGGACACTACCTATGATGTTCGAGGATTCTCTATTCTAATTTGATTTTATTTTCCTACTTGCAACTATTTTCTTACTCTTTGATCATTTTGCTTCCTAGACACCGAATTTTCGATTTGTACCTATAAGATACCAAATCCACCAATTAATATAGAAACATAAATTAATCCGAAAAAAAATCCACATAAATGTAAACGTAGAGTTTTATTTCTACACTCCACTGTATCATTTTTATCTAGTGTTTTTGTTGTTGTTTGTTGATGCGTATTAAAGTTCTAGTTTTGTAGTTTGTGTTTTTAAGAACGTTGTTGTGAATGCACTTTTGCGCATGTTTTTTTACATGTACGTTTGTGCATGTCCATTTGAGCGAGTGTATTTGTGCATGTTTTTTGATTTGTATTAATGTCCTAGGATTGTAGTTTGTGTTTTCATGATCCTTTTTGCGAATGAACTATTGCGTGAGTACTTTTGTGCATGTTTTTTTACTTTTACTTAAGTGCGTATCTTTTCTAGCGAGTGTTTTTGTGCACGTTTCTTGATGCGTATTCATGTCCTCGAACTGTAATACGTGTTTTCATGAACGCTTTTGGAATCTAATTTTGACCATGTTCGAGTCCGAATTTGGAATTTTATCGTAAGCTAGAAATTGTAGCCAACAGAAATTGCTTTATAATGCCGCTGAAATCAGTTGATTTGGAGTCCGGATGAGAAAGTTATGCTCGATTTCGTGGACACTACCAAAGATGTTCGGGGATTCTCTCTTCTAATATGATTTTATTTTCCTAATTGCAACTCTTTTCTTACTCTTTGATCATTTTTACTTCTTGGACACCTAATTTTCGATTTGTACCTATAAGATACCAAATCCACCAATTAATATAGAAATTTTAATTAATCCGAAAAAAAATCTCGCGAGTGATTTTGTGCACGTTTCTTGATGCGCATTAATGTCCTCCAACTATAGTACGTATTTTCATGATCGCTTTTGGCTTCAAACTTTGACCATGTTCGAGTCCGAATTTGGAATTTTTCCGTTCGACATAAATTGTAGCCCGCTGAAACAGATTTGTAACGCCGCCGGAACCAGTTGATTTGGAGTTCGGATGAGAAAGTTATGCTCGAATTCGTGGACACTACCAAAGATGTTCGGGGATTCTCTCCTCTAATTTGATTTTATTTTCCTAATTGCAACTATTTTCTTACTCTTTGATCATTTTTGCCTCCTGGACACCTAATATTCGATTTGTACCTATAAGATACCAAATCCACCAATTAATATAGAAATATAAATTAAGGCGAAAAAAAAACCACGAAAACGTAAACGTAGAGTTTTATTGTTACACTCCACTGTATCTTTTCTACCTAGTGTTTTTGTTGTTGTTTGTTGATGCGTATTAAAGTCCTAGTATTGTAGTTCGTGTTTTTAAGAACGTTGTTGCGAATGCACTCTTGCGCATGTTTTTTTACATTAGCGAGTGTGTTTATGCATGTTTGTTGATTTGTATTAATGTCCTCGGATTGTAGTTAGTGTTTTCATGTTTCTTTTTGCGAATGCGCTTTTGCGTGAGTACTTATGTGCATGCTTTTGTACTTTTACTTATGTGCTTGTCTCTTCTCGCGAGTGTTTTTGTGCACGTTTCTTGATGCGCATTAATGTCCTCGAACTATAGTACGTATTTTCATGATCGCTTTTGGAATCCAATTTTGACCATGTTCGAGTCAGAATTTAGAATTTTGCTGTTAGGCAAAAATTGTAGCCAGCTAAAATAGGTTTGTAACGCTGCCGGAACCAGTTGATTTGGAGTTCAGATGAGAAAGTTATGCTCGACTTCATGGACACTACCTAAGATGTTCGGGGATTCTCTCTTCTAATTTGATTTTATTTTCCTACTTGCAACTCTTTTCTTACTCTTGATCATTTTTTCTTCCTTGACACCTAATTTTCAATTTGTACCTATAAGATACCAAATCCACCAATTAATATAGAAATATAAATTAATCCGAAAAAAAATCCACATAAACGTAAACGTAGAGTTTGATTTCTACACTCCACTGTATCATTTTTATCTAGTGTTTTTGTTGTTGTTTGTTGATGCGTACTAAAGTTCTAGTATTGTAGTTCGTGTTTTTAAGAACGTTGTTGCGAATGCACTTTTGCGCATGTTTTTTTACATGTACGTTTGTGCATGTCCATTTGAGCGAGTGTATTTGTGCATGTTTGTTCATTTGTATTAATGTCCTAGGATTGTAGTTTGTGTTTTCATGATCCTTTTTGCGGATGCGCTTTTGCGTGAGTACTTTTATGCATGCTTTTGAACTTTTACTTATGTGCGTATCTCTTCTCGCGAGTGTTTTTGTGCACGTTTCTTGATGCGCATTAATGTCCTCGAACTATAGTACGTATTTTCATGATCGCTTTTGGAATCCAATTTTGACCATGTTCGAGTCAGAATTTGGAATTTTGCTGTTAGGCAAACATTGTAGCCAGCTAAAATAGGTTTGTAACGCTGCCGGAACCAGTTGATTTGGAGTCCAGATGAGAAAGTTATGCTCGACTTCATGGACACTACCTAAGTTGTTCGGGGATTCTCTCTTCTAATTTGATTTTATTTTCCTACTTGCAACTCTTTTCTTACTCTTTGATCATTTTTTCTTCCTAGACACCTTATTTTCAATTTGTACCTATAAGATACCAAATCCACCAATTAATATAGAAATATAAATTAATCCGAAAAAAAATCCACATAAACGTAAACGTAGAGTTTTATTTCTACCCTCCACTGTATCATTTTTATCTAGTGTTTTTATTGTTGTTTGTTGATGCGTATTAAAGTTCTAGTATTGTAGTTTGTGTTTTTAAGAACGTTGTTGCGAATGCACTTTTGCGCATGTTTTTTTACATGTACGTTTGTGCATGTCCATTTGAGCGAGTGTATTTGTGCATGTTTTTTGATTTGTATTAATGTCCTAGGATTGTAGTTTGTGTTTTCATGATCCTTTTTGCGAATGAACTATTGCGTCAGTACTTTTGTGCATGTTTTTTTACTTTAACTTAATTGCGTATCTTTTCTAGCGAGTGTTTTTGTGCACGTTTCTTGATGCGTATTCATGTCCACGAACTGTAATACGTGTTTTCATGAACACTTTTGGAATCTAATTTTGACAATGTTCGAGTCCGAATTTGGAATTTTGCCGTAAGCTAGAAATTGTAGCCAGCTGAAATTGCTTTGTAATGCCGCTGGAATCAGTTGATTTGGAGTCTGGATGAGAAAGTTGTGCTCGATTTCGTGGACACTACCAAAGATGTTCGAGGATTCTCTCTTCTAATATGATTTAATTTTCCTAATTGCAACCCTTTTCTTACTCCTTGAGCATTTTTACTTCTTGGACACCTAATTTTCGATTTGTACCTATAAGATACCAAATCCACCAATTACTATAGAAATTTAAATTAATTCGAAAAAAAATTTCGCGAGTGTTTTTGTGCACGTTTCTTGATGTGCATTAATGTCCTCCAACTATAGTACGTATTTTCACGATCGCTTTTGGCTTCAAATTTTGACCATGTTCGAGTCCCAATTTGGAATTTTGCCGTTAGACATAAATTGTAGCCTGCTGAAACAGATTTGTAACGCCGCCGGAACCAGTTGATTTGGAGTTAGGATGAGAAAGTTAAGCTCGAATTCGTGGACACTACCAAAGATGTTCGGGGATTCCCTCTTCTAATTTGATTTTATTTTCCTAATTGCAACTCTTTTCTTACTCTTTGATCATTTTTGCCTCCTGGACACCTAATATTCGATTTGTACCTATAAGATACCAAATCCACCAATTAATATAGAAATATAAATTAAGGCAACAAAAAATCCACGAAAACGTAAACGGAGTGTTTTATTTCTACACTCCACTGTAACTTTTTTACCTTGTGTTTTTGTTGTTGTTTGTTGATGCGTATTAAAGTCCTAGTATTGTAGTTCGTGTTTTTGAGAACGTTGTTGCGAATGCACACTTGCGCTTTTTTTTTTTACATTTACGTTTGTACATGTCCATTTTAGCGAGTGTTCTTATCCATGTTTGTTGATTTGTATTAATGTCCTAGGATTGTAGTTTGTGTTATCATGTTTCTTTTTGCGAATGCGCTTTTGGGTGAGTACTTTTGTGAATGCTTTTGTACTTTTATTTATGTGCGTATCTCTTCTCGCGAGTGTTTTTGTGCACATTTCTTGATGCGCATTAATGTCCTCCAACTATAGTACGTATTTTCATGATCGCTTTTGGCTTCAAATTTTGACCATGTTCGAGTCCGAATTCGGAATTTTTCCGTTAGACATAAATTGTAGCCAGCTTAAACAGATTTGTAACGCCGCCGGAACCAGTTGATTTGGAGTTCGGATGAGAAATTTATGCTCGAATTCGTGGACACTACCAAAGATGTTCGGGGATTCTCTCTTCTAATTTGATTTTATTTTCCTAATTGCAACTCTTTTCTTACACTTTGATCATTTTTGCTTCTTGGACACCTAATATTCGATTTGTACCTATAACATACCAAATCCACCAATTAATATAGAAATATAAATTAAGGCGAAAAAAAATCCACGAAAACGTAAACGTAGAGTTTTATTGTTACACTCCACTGTATCTTTTTTACCTAGTGTTTTTGTTGTTGTTTGTTGATGCGTATTAAAGTCCTAGTATTGTAGTTCGTGTTTTTAAGAACGTTGTTGCGAATTCAGTCTTGCGCATGTTTTTTTACATTAGCGAGTGTGCTTATGCATGTTTGTTGATTTGTATTAATGTCCTCGAATTGTAGTTAGTGTTTTCATGTTTCTTTTTGCGAATGTGCTTTTGCGAGAGTACTTTT